CAGGTGCAATTTCAAACCTATATGATAGCTTGAAATTATTTATGACCTCAGTTCCAGGGTAGCCAACATCTTCTGACCTCCAGAGAAGCCAGGCACTCACAAGGACATACATAAAGGCAGGAAAAACATATATACACCCATAAAAAGAAATTTAAAAACAAATTCTTGTTCAACAAGATGGGCACATCAAGATGGCTCAACAGTAAAGGTGTTTACCTCCAACTAAGCCTGGATGAACTGAGTTCGATCCTCAAGACCCACATGGTGGAAGTAGAGAATCAACTTCTTTAAGATGTCTACACACACACACACACACACACACACACACACACACACACACACACAAAATAAGTAAATGCATTTTTTATTAAAAAAAAAGATGGCCACCTGAGAAACAACAGCCAAGGTTGTCCTCTGGTGTACACACATTAATATTTTTATTGTTATTATTATTCATTCAGAGAAACATACACACTGTTGTGTTTAGTATATAAAACCCTAGTCCCTGCCTAGATTTGAAATACATGTGTCACACAGAGGTCCAGTTAGCTATTCCCTCACATCAGAAGCCTGCCATTGATCTTGGGTAGAAAGTAGCCACCAGGATTGCCTAATCTGTCTGAGATCTGGAACTGAAAGAGCTGACTTCAGCATTGTTTACTGTGGTCATCTCAGATAAAGTTTACACTTACTTCACATGAACTTGTGGACACAGTTAAAAAGATAGGAATGGGGTTTGTTGATTAGAAATTCAATGATAAGAGCTGGAGAGGTTGCTCAGTGGTTAAGAGCAATTGCTGCTCTTGTAGAGGACCTGGGTTCAATTCCCAGCATGCATACAGTCTGTAACACTATCTGGTGCATTCTTCTGGCTTTCATGGACACCAGACATGCATGCAGTGCACATACATATATGCAAAGCACTCATACACATAAAAATAATAATGGGGAGGGGGAGGATGGAGAGATTACTCAGAGGTTAAGAATACTGCCAGCCATTCCAGAGGATCCAGATTGAATTCCAAGCATCTATATGGTTGCTCACAACCATCTGTTCTAGTCCACAGGGAATCTGAGTGTACCAGGTACACACATGGTACACAGACACATATGCAGAGAAAACACTCATATGCACAAGATTAATCTAAAATTTTAAATTTGATGGTACTGATGAATAAGATAAAGGTACTTGCTACCAAGTCTGACAACTAGAGTCTCATTCATTAGATTCACAGTAACATGAAAGAACCAACTCCTACCAGTTGTCCTCTGTCTTCTGTGCAATGTGTGCCTGTACACACTGTTGTGTAGCAATTATCTCCAAACTGGAACATGTCATCTCAGAGAGAAACTTGTTGAAACTCAGTAAGTTCTAAAGGGAAACTGGTTAAAACTCAGTAAGCAACTCACTAGTCTCAGGAAGTCCCTGAAATGGGCCAGATTCACAAAGCCCTGTCTCCAAGCTTACAGAATCAGTCTAAGGAATGCAGAGAAGAGGCGATTCTTCAGTCTGTCAAGCTGTCTGCAAGTCCTGCAGTGATCCATCATCCATCCTGAGGTGGGCTTCAGGGTTACAGATGCTCCTATAGGTCATCCCTCCCCTATATTATACAAAACCACAATAAACTCATATGTCTGCCAGGTTGGACCTTGGTGGTAGTGGTACTCTGGTCTGTTGCTGGTTCCTGTCTGAGATAGTTAGACATGAGTTTACATTGACCTAGGAACAGAATCAGAGTACATACACATTGTGTCACAGTATACAAAGAGACTCACAAATTAAGAATAAAACAAATTAAATGCCGCAGTGTAGTGGTGGCATGTGTCTTTAATATCAGCACTTGGGAGGGAGGAGGAGGCAGGCAAAGCTCTGTGAGTTTGAGGCCAGTCTGGTCTACAGAGTTCCAGCACTCAGAGCAACCCTGTCTCCAAAAACAAAAAACAAACAAAAAAATTAAATGTTATGGCTTCCTGCCAAGAAATGGGAAATAAAATCACATGTAACTGTCATTACCATGTATCTTTGTCATATGTATGCACACACACACATGTATAGGGATACATGTGTGCATGTACATGTGTATGGGGGCCATAGGTTAACCTTAGGGGCCATTCCTCATGGAACCCACCTTGTTTTTTAAGACAGGGAATCACACCAGCCTAAATCTCATCTATTAGCTAAGATGGCTGGACAGTAAGCTCCACCAAACTAAGGCTCATATGGGTTTTGAAGACTGAACCCATCAAGTCCTTATGCTTGCACAGCAAATACCCAGTCCCTAATCACCTTATTTACAATGCAAAATGAAAGTCTCAGTAAAAGGGTATCAGGAGGCACCCTGAGCAAATCTATAGCTTGCAATTATAACAGCACAGTCAACAAGACATTGTTTCAAAAGTCCACAAAGAAATGGCATGAGGGATACTCACGACTTAAGTTCTCAAATTTATGAACAGCAAGAACCAAAAAAGAAAATAAAAATGGCTCAACAGGTAAAGGTGCTTGGTATCAGGCCTGAAAAACAGTGTTCAATTTCCAAAACTGATTCCTGAAAACTGTCCTCGGACCTCTCTCTACATGTATGCCATGGCAATCGTGTGTACATGCACACACATGTAAAAATAAAATTCGAAGAATTTAACAGCAGGGAAATCCTTTCATGCCAGTGAATTAATACAACAAAATGTAGTTACATTGCCCTTTTTGCTTACATATATGGTGTCTGGGTGGTCATGTGTGTGCATGTGGAGGTCCAAGGTTGATATTGGGTGTCTCCCTCCCTCCCTCTTGTATAATGAGATGGATCTCGAAAAACCCAGAACTAGTTCTTTTAGTCTGGCTAGTCAGCTTGCTCTGGGTACCTGTCCTCAGGTTCCACCTCCCCCAAACAATTACAGGTAAACAGAACAGCCAAGCCCACTTGGCACTGGAGATCTGAACTCCAGTCCTGATGCTTGCACAGCAAATGTTTTATCTCTACGATCTCCCCAGCCCCAGGTTGTCACTTTTAAGGAAATGTGTTTTTAATGCCTACAAACAACCCAACTTTGCTGAGCCAACACATACATACAAAATGGGGTTCACCTTGCCCTTGCCGTGCTTGTTCTGTCAACCTGACAGTTTAAGAGTCTCCTGGGAATTTTCACTTAGACACAGTTGAGATCAGCTTGACCTGTGGTCTTATCTGTGGGAACTGTCTTGATTGATGTGGGAAGATGCAGACAACTGTGGCCCACACTGTTCCCTGGTCAGGGGTTCTGGGTCTGATGAATGAGAAGAGGTTGAACACAGCAGGCATAAGCATGAGTGCATCTCTCTGCTTTTTGTTGTTTTATTTTTCAAGACAGGTTTTCAAGACTGGCTATCCTGGAACTCACTCTGTAGGCTGGGCTGGCCTCAAATTTAGAGATCTACCTGCCACTTGCTCTTTAAGATGTGTAAAAAAAAATCTGTACGTGTGTGTGCGCAGTCAGGTACTTGCAAAGATCAACAAAGGCCATTTGATCCGTTGGAGCTAGAGGTAAAAGTGGTTTTGAGTCACCCAACATGGGAGCTGGGACCCAAATCCTGCTCCTCTGAGAGCAGCTCTCAAGCACTCAGTCACCTCTCCAGCCTTCTTTCATCTTGAACGAGTGATGTGACCAACTGCTTTCAAGCTTCTGCTGTGACATCCCCACAGTAACTGACTGCAACCTGCAGCCATGAGCTAAATCCTTTTCCCCCTAAGTTTTTTTTTTGGGGGGGGGAGGGGTGGAGACGGCGGCGGTCAGGTTATATGACCACAGCAATAGAAATGAAACTAGAAGTTGGTATTCACGTCCCTAAATGTCAGATGACAAGAGTCCAAATGATTGGAGAGGGGCTATTCAGTATCGTAAGGTGGGTGGGAAATGTAACTCAGAGCAAGAAGCTCCAAGCTAAACCCCATCCTGTATCTCAGCACTGAGAAAGCAAAGGCAGCCAGATTTCTCTGAGTTGGAGACCAGCCTGGTCTACATAATGAGACCACTATCTTAAAAACAAAACAAACAAAAAATCCTCCGACCCAGAGGATTCATGGGCTATCTCCACAGGCTCTGAAGATATAGTTCATCTGCAAAGCTGAGACTCCTACAAGCTCAGGGATTTCTTAAAACATGTTATTTACATGTATATGTATCTGTGTCTGTTTGTATATGTGTCTGTTTGTGGATATGCACTTGTGTGCAGACGCCAGAAAAGGTTGTCCAATCCCCACGAGCTGGAATTACAGAAAGCATTGAGCCATTCGATGTGAGTGCTGGGAATCAAACTCAGGTCTTCTTGCAAGAGCAATATGCACTCTTAATGGCTAAATAATCTCTCCAGCCTGTAAAGATTTATTTTTAATTATGTTCATACTCATGGAAGGTCTGTGTATGGGAATCAAGTACCCACAGAAACTAGAAGACAGAAGCCTACAAGAATGTGTTGGATCCCCTGGAGGGGCAGCTAGCCTGGTGTGAGCTGCCAGAACCAAACCTGGGTCCTCTGTCAGAGTAGCAACTCTCTTATCCATGGAGCCATCTCTTCAGCTCAAGCTCAAGGATAGTCCCTGTTTGATTCACTGATGCAACCTAAGCTTACAGAAATGCTCCTACCACACTGCAGGACCTCAGAAAACACAGGATGAATGAGATAAAGACAAAGAGGACAGCCAGCCTGGTGAAGCAGATGTGTAATTCTACCTACCCCAGAGGATGGAGCTGGAGGTTTCAAGGCTTACATGAACCACAAAACAATTCCACGGCCAGCCTGAGCAACTTATCAAAATTAACTTCTAAAAAAGGGCAGAGGTAGAGGTGGGGATACAGCCTAGTGGCATGATGCTTGCCTAGCATGTTAGGCTATAGGTTTAATCCCCAACATCACATACACACACGCCCCTTACTCTCACTGAGGTATTATATCAAATACAGGGCATTAATACTAGTTTGTCTTTCAGATTAAATTCATCAGCTATTTTCAGGGAAGTAACTAATTGTCTTAAAATATGTTCATGTTTATTCAATGATCAGTAGCAAAATATTAATTTCCTAGTAGCTGTGGTTACAGTGCAAGGAGTAATGGGAGGGGGAGACTTTACAGATGAAGGTAGAACGTTCTAGTCCACGACAATAAGGCTGCCAAGAAAGCTATTCAATAAACAAGGCTGCACAAGAGAAGTTCCCACCTGAGGTGGAGGGCATGTGAGACCTCACACAGACAGGCCAGCACAGGAGTGTACCAAAGTTCTGATGTGGCACTTGCAACAACACGTGCTTTGGGATACTTAAAAGCTACTGCTCTGGCTTTGCTCACAAGCTCCAAGATCTCACTGGTCCCAATCACCATGGCATTCTCTGAGCCAGGAGCACAGTAGGTGCTTAATAAATATTTTCAAATGAAAAACAGAGGGAAGGCAGGCCTGAGCTAAAGATCTCGCAGGCAAGACAAAGCTCTCTAAAAATTGAGTTTCAAGGCTGGGCACATACCTCAGTCAGTGGGTACCCCACCTAGCATGCACAAAATCTTCGGTTTCATTTCCAACATAGCATAAGCCAGGTATGGTGGCACATTCCAATAATCCCTGCACTGGGAAGATGGAGGCAGGAGCATCAGAAGTTCAAGATCATCTTTAGCTACACGACTAGTCTGAGACCAACTTAAATAATATGAGTCCTTATCTCAAAATGAAAAGAAAAATGAGCTTCAAGTTGTCAATATGCAATAAAATTTTGCCCTTACCTCCAAACTTGCTCAGGAGGTGGGTTCCCAACCACCCCCCCCCAAAAAAAAACTGAAGCTTAGGATTATGTTTCCCTACAACAGGTGAAGGAAACTGTGGGCCCTCTGGAAGCTCTCCATACACCAGGCTCTGTCCTCCTCTTGCTTGAGCACGTTCTAGTGTCCTTCACTGGGCACTGCCCAGACCACTCGGCACAATGCAAGTCACCCCCAAAGCAGAGCCATTTCACGATATGTTCACTGCACAGGGGGCTCCTGGCGATGCTGGGTCTTCTGGTGCCTGTTGAGGATGGACCTCTGGTTGAAGCTGCGGCCGCAGGCGGGGCAGTGGTACGGCTTCTCGCCCGTGTGGATCCTCTGGTGCCGCACCAGCCGCTCCCCCTTGCTGAAGCGCTTGCCGCACACCTGGCAGCCATAGGGCTTCTCTCCAGTGTGTGCACGTCGGTGCACCGCCAGGTTGGCATTCCTGCTGAAGCTCTTGCCACACTCGCAGGTGTAGGGCTTCTCCCCAGTGTGTGTCCTGCGATGTACCAGCAGGTGCTGCCTCCGGCTAAAGCCCTTCCAGCAGTCCGCACACTTATAGGGTTTCTCCCCTGTGTGGCTGCGCTGGTGCACCTCCAGGTGATGCCTCTGGCTAAAGGTCTTCCAGCACTCACCACACACATAGGGCCTCTTGCCCAGGTGGGTCCTCTGATGTTTGGTGAGGTACTCCCTCAGGGTGAAACCTTTCCCGCACTCCACACAGCCAAAGGACTTCTCCTCTTCATGTGTTCGCTGGTGTCTGACAAGGTTGGAGCTGCGACTAAAGCCTTTTCCACACTCAGGGCACTGGAAAGGTTTCCAGAAAGAATTGTGAGTGTTAAGGGTGTCTGGCAGGGGGACCCCATGCTGAGGAGCAGAGAGCCCAGGTAAACTGGCTCCAGATCCCCCAGGCTCCTGCTCACAGGCACCCCCTGGTCCAGGAACCTGGATGGCAGTTTCTCCAAACCCATCAGAAGTCAACCCAACAAATGCTCGTTTCAGATCTTCCTGCTGGGGTTTGGCCTCCTTCTCCTTGTTCCCAGAACCTGTGTGGCAAAGGAGGTCAACACTGTGGTGATGCTGCAGCACAGACCCTCCAACTGCTGCTCTCCTTCACGCCCAGAAATCAGGTGCCACCCTTTCTTTCTCTCTGTCGCTATTTCTCTGCTAGCTCTAAAGGCTGCTGTGACCTTGTAGCCTCACCTTCTCTCCACTTGCAAATGTGAGCAAGACCAGCTCTTCCACACACAGGCAGACAGACACAAACCCCTGTTGTAACTTTCCACTCTTACCTAAGGTTTCCTGCATGCCAGGGGCTAGGTGGGCTAGGTTAGAACTAGATATGGGCTTCCCACCACCATTCCACAAACCTACAAAAGAGCAAGCTTACTTCTTTGTGGGGATCTGAAAGGAATGAAGAGACCTACAGGCTGCCATCTCTCCTCTCCAGGCCCCCCATGGCTGCCTATGCTTTCAGGCTCCAGCATATTATCTAAGGCTGTCTGTAATGTCATCCCTCCTCAGACCTGAAGGCCTGCTCTCCCACTGTGATGCTATGGCCCTGCTGGAAAGAAACATCTGAAAGGAGACTCCTCTCACTTCCTTTTCTGCTTTCCTCAAACAGTGACCACCCAGGGAACTTTGTGCACCATGTCTTCTCCTCCAAATGAATCCCTTCATCTTGGTGGTTGTGATGGTTTGGCTTTCTGAGATAGGATCTCACTCTGTAACACATGCTGGCTTTGAACTCATGCAATTCTAAAGGGGGAAATCTCAGGCCTGAATAACCATACCCAGCGTACTAGTGTGTCCCATTACTGGCTCCTCTTCTTTTTCTTGGATCAACAACCTCAATACCTTTCACGTCCATGAACCCTGAACTCTGACCTTTCTTTGCTCCTTACCATCTCTCTGCCCTGATACTGAACTGATTGACAGATTTTAATACCCACCCCCCACTTAAGGTTCTGTTAGTTCAGACTTTCACTTCCTTCAAAAATCTAACTCAGTGGGGCTGGAGACAACTCAGTGCTTAAGAGCACTTGTGTAACCAGATGCCCTGAGTTCGGAATCCAGCATGCGTAGAAGCCCAGTGTGGTCTTATACATGCCTGGAAAAAAATCATTGTGGTGGCAAAGACAGGAAGATCACTAGGATTGTAAGTCTAACTGAAAAAGTCAAGTTCCAGGTTTAGGGAGAGAAACCCAGGCTCAAAGGAGTAAGGCAGAGTAACAAAGGGAGAAATCCCACACTCCCTCTTCAATCCCCTGGGTATGAGAACAGCTATGTGCATATGTATACACACAAGCACATACACCACACATACACAAATCTAACTCAGATTTTTATGATGGGCACACCCTAGGGATTCTCTTCCCCTGGCCTCTTTTCCACTGATATAATCAGTTAGCCCGCACTTATGGTACACTTATTAGCACACCCACACACTATGTTCTCTCACCCAGCACACTCCCTGTCCCAACAGAAAGCAGCCACATAGGGCCTGCACGCAGGAGGTGTTCAGTAACCATCTGCTTAAGAACCAGACCAAGCACTCCTCTTCTGCTCCTTTCCTTTCTCTCTAGTGCTGGATATCCCTTAGTCATGGACACACGTCTCCAAGACTCGCCTACACTCCCTATACTATCCATGCAGCACCATGGCTAGGGCAAGACTCTTAAAACTGTAGCTTTCAAAACTCCTTTCTCACCTGTGCCAAGCAACTGTCTTACCTGGAAGGACCCCACAGTCTTGTGATTCCACATACTCCCCGAAGCAGTCAATCTGAGCTGGGGCCACGTGCCTCCATTCCTCTTCAGGAAAAGCCAGAGCCATGTCTTTAAAAGGCCCCAGACCCTAAAACATCAAGAGACTACTATAGATAAAGAAAGAATACTGGAGACTACAGAGATGGCTCAACCATTAAGAGCACTTGCTGCTCCTGTAGAGGACCAGGGTTCAGTTCCTAGTACCTATATAACAACTAATATAACTGCCTGTAACTAACGGTTCCAAGGGATCAGATGCCATCTTCTGGACTCTGAGCGCACCAGGCACACATGTGATGCACATACATACAAACATATGTGTGGGCAAAACATTCATACACCTAAAAAAGATAAAAATAAATTAAGAGAAAAAAGTAAGAACCCTAGAGTTGATAAAATAACTCAGTGTGTTAAGGTGCTGGCTGCCAAGCAAGATGACCTCAGTTGAGTTCCTAGAAATGAAATGGTGGACAGATAGAACTGGTTCTAGCAAGCTGTCCTTCGACCTCTACATGAGCACTATGGCACACCTCCCACAACACTACACTAAACACATTGTCAAAAAAAGGTGGGGTAGTCTACCAGTAGCTTCAAAATAAGGCTCAAGCACAGCATAGACAGAAGCAACTGGACCCTGGATGAGCTGAGAGAATTGCTATCTTCCAACAGCTTTAACATAGAGTGACCAACATGTTCAGACCCTGCTACTATGGCCCTGCTTGGCCTCACCATCTCAGCAACCTCCTCAAGTTTGAGCCTGGAAGCCTGTGTGTTCCCTCAAGCTCCACCTTAAGGTTATGCTTTTCTAACGAACTGTTCAGTAGGTGAAACCTGATGACCAACATAAAGGTAGAAACGACTACACGAAGCTGTCCTCTGACCTCCACACATGTAGTGGCATGGACACCCACATATCTATCTTATGCAAATGCACACAAGAGGATAAATAATACATTTTAACTTAAAAGAATAAAGCATGTTAAATAAACAAAATGGAATATGGTACTTAGGAATAAGCATCAGCTGGTAGAGTGCTTGCCTAACATGTCCAAAGCCCGGGGCTCCATCCTCCGCATCACACAGTAAGGTGTAGTGCTGCATGACTATTATCCCAGCACTCAGGATGTGGAAACACAAGGATCGGGAGCATAAAGACATCATCTTCTACTTTTTTTAAAAAAAAAAATTACTTTTGTGTGTGTGAGAAAGAGGCAGTGATATATGTGCAACCCTCTGGGAAGCCAGAATAGAGCCTCAGATCTGCTGAGCAAGAGCTACAAGGAAGCTGTGATCCATTAGACACGAATGTTGGAAGCCTACCTTGTGTCTTCTGGAAGAATAGGAAACACTTTCAACTGCTGACTCATCTCTCTGGCCCTATGAGCTACGTATTGAGTTTGAGGGTAACCTGGGCTACATAAGGCCCTGTCTCAAAAAATAAACAAATCAACAAAATCTCCAAAATAGAAATGTTAGCTCACCTGGGATGTTGCTGCAAGGAACCCAGCAGCAATTTCTTGGTCTCTGGTGCTCACAGAGGGAAGACCTGGACCCGCATGAAGAATGGGCAGTGCTGAGCAGAACACAAAAGAGGATCAGGGCTGTTGTCCACCAATTCAAAAGTACCCCACCCCAATACACACCATCTCAGAACTACAGACCACCAAGAATTACGTCAGGACCAGGCAGTGGTGGCCGCATGCCTTTAATACCAGTACTTGGGAGGCAGAGGCAGGTAGATCTCCCTGATCCTTGAGTTCGAGCCAGCCTGCTCTATGGAGCGGGTTCCAGAACAATCTGGGCTACAGAGAGAAATGTTATCTCAAAAAAAAAAAAAAAAGAGAGAAAAAATTACTTCAGTACCACAATGACCTACAGCCAAGAGTCTAGGAGTCCCCTGCCCTTTTCTGGCTGAGAAGACTATCCCAACCCTGTCCCCTCAGAGTTAGTCACACTCCTGAATCATTAATGAGAACAATTTTCCGAGACTCAGTAATAATGAAGCCTCATGTGGGTATGGCTTGTCTCCTCACTTAATAACTAACTCTCCCATATCATGAGCATAGTTCCTAGTGGTTCTAGAATTGATATGAGGGGAAGGAAGAACAAATGATAAGAGAACATGATTCTAGATGTGTCCTGTAAAACCAGTCAAGGTGTAAAAAACCATTTCATCTGTTTCCTACTGGGGTAAAGGAAGTAGCTTGAAAAACTCAATATTATACTTTACCAGTAACTACTTAGCCCAGTGCTGACCTTTCATCCTCATCACTGGCATCTTACCTTGCTCTTGGAAAGCCTGTGTCCCATCTCCAGGGCCCTGGCTCAGCTGTTCTGCAGTGCTTGGGCCCAGGCTTTGAACTCCTTCCCCCTGCAGCATCCCCCATTCAGGCTTGACTTCTACTGGCCCCAAGTTGATGCCTGATTGCCAAGATCCTCCACCAAGGGCTGTGACCAGCTGTTCTCCCTGGGCATGGCATGGAACCTAAGAAGAATGCCCACACCAGTTAGAATGAGACTTGCTTGGAGGCTGTTAGAAAAAGAGCTGAAATAAAACTGAAAAAGAAAGCAAGGCTAGTGGTGCAAATCAGCTAGTAGAGTGCTTGCCTCACATGCATGAAGCCCTGCAAGCCCTGAAGCCCTGAGTTCCATCCCCAGCACCACATAAACCCAGTATGATGGTCCAAGCTGTACTCCTAGCACCCAGTAGAGGGGGGAATCCCCCACCCCTGCGTTAAAAACCAGCTTGGTCTAACTGGTCTAATAAGTGAATTGCAGGCAATCTAGTGCTACCCAGTAGATCCTGCCTTAAAAAAAAAAGACTAGAAAAAAGAGCAGGAAAGAAGGAGAGAGGAAGGGAGGAGGGGCGGTGTAAAAGAGAAAGGAGAGAAAAGGTGGAAGAGGAAAGAAAGCTGTTGACTTCTTCCACAAGAAAGCTAAATAAATACTTCCAAAATGAATGAGCTAATGAGAAAGAGCGGCTATACAAAAAGTGGAGCTTTAAAGTGACATTCTCATAGAAACAAGGTCCTGCTCCCTTTTCTTCTTTTTCATAGATTTTAATACTGATAATCAACTTGACAGTTCTAGAGTCACCTATGAGACAAACCTCTGGGCTTATCTGGGAGGGATATGTGTCTAGATTTGGTTACCTGAGGTAGCAAGCCCCACCTTAAACGCAGCCCCACTATCCCATGGGGTGAGGTCCTACACTGAATCAGAGGAGAAAGTGAGGGGCTGAAGAGAGCTCGGTAGCAAACAGTGCATACTGTTTTCGCAGGGGACCTAAATTTTGTTCCTAGTGCCCACACCAGGCAGCTCACAACCACCTGTAGCTTGTAGTGCCAGGGGATCCAATGTCCTCTGTGGATACCTGAATATATGTGCACATTCTAAACACACAGACAGATACACACACACACAATAAAAATAAGTAAATGTTTTAATCTTTAAAACAAAAGGAGAAAGTGAGCTGAGCGCCAGCATTCATCGCTCCTTCCTGAAGGCAGATGTGTGTGGTCAGTTATGTGTCTCGCCACCACACTTTTCCAAAAAACTGTTGAGTCAAAATGTGAGCATCTCTCTTTCTGTTAACTCCTGGCCTTAAGGTAGTTATTTAAGGGCCAGAGAGATGGTTCAGTGATTAAGATATTAGCTGCTCTTCCAGAGGACCCTGATTCAATTTGCAGCATCCATATGGCAGTTCACAAGTAGCTGTACTGCCACTTCCAGGGGATGTGGACTCTAGAGACACTGCATGCACATGCCACACAGACATACTTGCAAGCAAAACACCCATACACAAAACAGAATAAAACAAAAATTTCAAAGATATTTAAAATGTCTTTTCTTTGCATAGATATGTATGGTATGTATGTGGGTACATGTGCACACACAGAGGACAATGGGTGACTTCAGTGTCTGCCTTTATCACTTTGTATCTTATGTATTTAGGCAAAGTCTGTCATCTGATTTTTTGCTTGCTGATTTCACTGTCTACCTAGCCAATTCACATAGCGGATGCTAGCTCCACCTCCTGAGTGGATTATGGACTATCAAGCCTACCCAGCATTATGCATTTATGTGGGAGCTCATTCGTTCACAGCAAATGCTCCATTCACTGAACTATCTACCCAACCCCTAAAAAAAAAGTCTTTTAATATACCTCACTCTGCTATTTCTAAAACTGCTTTTTGCAACAAAGTGAACCCACAGATCTGATTTTGCCTGAGCAGAAGTACCGAAAGTTGAGTAAGAAATCCCAGAGCGATTGAGTAGGGTTGTGCCTAAATCCCAGGTGCCACAAAACCACTGCCACTAGCCTCTTCCCCAAGGGCATGTAAAGCTCACAGTGGACCTGGAATACAAGCTAAACTACGTTCACTGGATTTGAAGCTCACCCAAGGGTCCCTGATGCCTAAGCCAAGGCATAAGGCCCTCCTGCCCTAGAGATGGCTCTTTAAAAAAAAAATCTTCTAAGTATAAATATATGTGTGTGTATGTATTCATGTCATGTACTGAGTACAGGCGTGTACGCCTGATCATGTGTGGAGATCAGAGGACAACTTCCAGTGCTGGTTCTCGTCTCGTCTTCCACGTTATGATAGGGACTCTTGCTCATCCCTGCTGAGGACGTCTGCCTATCTGGACTGCAAACTTCTGGGGGCTCTCCTTCCTTTGTCCACCATCTCATCACTGGGAGTACACGTGCACACTCCCTCCTGTGACCTTTACATGATCCTGGAGATCTGAACTTGGGTCCTCATGCTTTACCCACTGGGCCACGTGTTCAACTCTGACTCTTGCCAAACAGCAGCTGCTCTCGAGAAATGCTGTTTGGGGGCTAGGGGATGATGGAGCAGGTTTTAAGTTTCATCCACTCCCACTACTTCCTTAATCTCTCCATTTTTGATTCCCACACCAACCACACAAGGCCTAGACACCCTCTTCTCACCCACCGCCTTGGCCTCCGGTGTGCTCTCCATCAGGTCCTCCACCATGGCCACCAAAGCCTTGCCGCTGTCTGGGCTGTGCTCTCGGATCCAGGTGTAGAGCTCTCGGGGCAGGATGGTGAGGAACTGCTCCAGCACAAGCAGCTCCAGGATCTGCTCCTTGCTGTGCAGCTCTGGCTGCAGCCACCGCCGACAGAGTTCTTGGAGCTCCCTGAGGGCTTCCTGGGGACCAGCTGCCTCTTGGTAGCGGAACTGCCGAAACCTCAGCCGGAATGCCTCAGGACTGGAGTCCTCCCCTCCCCGGCCCCATGGCAGCTCCTTCTCCAGTTTCACCACTGGAACACCCATCCGCTGCTGAGGATCTTCTGCCATCTCCAGGCGCTCTTTCAGCATCTTCAAGCTCCAGCAAGCCTGAGGATGACAACAGAGAGGGTCCTTCTGAGAACAGGAAACACACACGGGAGGTCAGCCCATCCAGTTCTGTTTTTGTTCTCAGGAAGCTGATACAGATCTTCAGATCCTATCAGCTGATCTGGGGCTTCAGTTAGGGTAGAAACAACAAAGCAGGCAAAATCAAGACCAAGACAAACTTTGAGGTCAACACGAGTGGCTTGACTGTGATGGTGCTTTAGGTCTAAAGACAATGCTGCACAGGCTATTGCCACTGCTCTTGATTGCCCATGTACAATGGTAAAGCCCTGCTGCTGAAGACACAATACATTTTGGTTGCAGCACCCCGAGAAATCAAACTAGAACTGACCTGGAACTTTCCTCCCCATTAGCTAGTTTTCATGTGCTGAAAGGTGCTATCCAGGCCCCTGGAGGAGAAAAGCCGTTGCCAGTAGCACACAGCAGGGAAGCCTGCAGGCTCTAACAAGGAAAGACTTGCCAGACAAGATATGTACACTGCTGTAATAGTAGCTTGAAGGCAACCAACTACTTTCTGACTGAATTTGTGGCTTGCTCCATGGGAGGGAATTCATGCCTGATACTGTAAACCTGGTCAAAAACCCATAGACAGGGAGATTGGGCCTAAAGGAGAACCTACAACTATGGTTTTGCTAAAGCAGACGTGGCATCAAACCACTTTCTAAATATTTAAGGTAATACCCACAGATTAGCTAATCTCAGCCTTAGTCACGGAAGCCTTGATCTGCCTTCAGTTTGTACAGACACTTATAACTGGCCAAAGTTGAGTGTTCATCCCTAAATGGGACAACTGTGTCAACAACCCTACACAGCCAAGGCTCAGGGAACATAGTGGAAGCGGGGACAGAAAGAATGTAAGAGCCAGAGGGTGGGAAAAAGTACTGTGACATGCTGTCTTTTGGATGTGACGCAGCCACTGCATTCATGAACTTATTGCCACACAGGACTTATATACCTGCACAGGACTAAGCCAGTAAAATCAGTCAGCACCCCAACAAAAAAGAAGAGGATACAAAAATGGGTGTTTGGGTGTCCCTGGGAGGAGTGGGGGAGAGGAGTTAGGGTAGCAATAGTCAAGACATGCTGTATGCATGGACAAAAGTGTCAAGAGAATAAGTAAAAGAGGAGACACAGAAAGAATATGCAAGCAGCATATAGAACCCTCTCCCTCCAAAAACATGGAAGGTTTAAAAAGAAGAAAGAATGGGCTGGAGAGGCAGCCCGGTGATTAAGAGCACCCACTGCTCTTGCAGAGGACCCAGGTTCCGTTCCCAGTACCCACATGGTGGCTCATAACCTGCTGTAACTCCAGTTCTGGACGATCTGCTGTGTCTTCTGGACACTGTGGTACATAGACAAACATGAGGGGAAAAGAAAAAAAAAACCCACCCACCATCATTAATCATCATTAATTTGGATGAAGAGGCAGGTGTTCTCTGTGAGTTAGAGGCCATCCTGGTCTACATAGTGAGTTCCAGGACAGCCAGAGCTACACAGTGCACAATGAGCTCGTCTCGAAAAGAGAAAGATTAACAGCCACGGCAGTAGTTGCCTGTAATCCTGGAACCTGGTTTAGGCTTGCAGACGGTGAGTTCTAGGACAATCTGGTTACATAGCTGGAAGAAAGCGAGAGGAGAATGGGAGAACTGGTGGGAAGCGAACATTACACCTGAGGAAAAAAAGAGGCTGTAAAGCAGTCTGTAAAATGAGTCTTGTTTACTTCCGGGCGGGCAGGCTGGAGAGACAGGCCCCATGCCCCAAAGCACAAAAGCGCTCAGACAGTTGGTGCAACTAGCGGGCGAGAGGCCACGACCTTCGGTTACAGTTTCTACTGGTTGTTTGTGTTTTTTTCCACCCGGCCCTTAAACCGACTCCTCATTTTCCGTCTACAGTACTCGTCTCTTCGCTGCATCGGACTTTCTGGAACGAGCCAGCTATTGCCTAGCTCGTTCCGCCGGCGCCCTGCGGGCAACAGGCCCCTTGTGGGTCTTTCCTCGCAGGCCTCTGGCAGACAGAGGGTGCCCCGTGGCTCTTCTTCCAACGACCGCCCTGCATCCGCGTCTAAATCTCCTCACTTTTTAGAGGCGCAAGGCCAAGGTCTTCCCGCGGAGCGTGGACACCCTGCGTTAGGCTCTCTCCGCCTGGCCCGGCCGCGACCCGCCCAGTTCTTACCTGAGACCACGGCTGTGCGTGGAGAGGCGACCTTCCAGGCCGCAGCTGCCCCGCCGAGCTGGCAACCTCCGCTCCGTTCCCGCCCAGCCGCGGCCTTGACTGCCTGCGCGCTCAGCACCTGCCCCGGCCTGCGCGGACCGGAAGTGAGTGGCGGATGCTGTCAGGCAGGTGCCCTAATGAAAGGGCCCGCGTCCGGTTCCTCTCTAGGACGCTCGGAGGTCTCAGAAAGAGGAGTATCTCTATGGTGGGTCATGACTAGCGCAGGCTCCCCATCTGTTTCCTGGCTCTTACCGCACTTCCGTACAGTTTTTTTTTAAATGAATCTCTACCCAAAAAGGAGCTTTTCTGCCATAGGCTAAGAGATGCATTAGTCTATGGGTATAAGCATAAATATTTTAACATTTTACGTGTATTTATTCATTGTGTGTCTGGACAATTTGAGGAGTCAGGTCTCATCTTCCACTTTGTAGTTCTCAGGGATAGAACTCAGACCAGCGGGCTTGGGACCAAGCTCCTTGACCCACCGAGTCACCTCTTGAACATAAATAATTTATAAGGCAATTGACATATGTTCCTTTAGGAAAGGAGATGTTTAGTTTTAACTGTCACCTTGACAATCTAGGATCAAGCAGGAAGAGTCTCAATGAAGAGTTAGCCAATCTCTCCCTGTCAGGTTGGTCTGTGGGCATGATGTGGAAAGACACAGACTACTGTGGGTGACACCATTCCCTGGGGTTGGGTCTTAGGCTGTGAAAGAATGAAGAAAGGGAGCTGAGTGGTAAGCGTGCATACATTAACTAACATCTTCCTGCTCTGAACTGTGGCTGGAATGTGACCACCTGCTGCACGTTCATGCTGCCTCTTCTTCCCTACAATGAGGACTCACCTGGAATTGTAAGCCCAAATAAACATGATCTACTCAAAGCTTTAAAGCTTTTTTTGCTTGATAAAGTTTCTCTGTAGCCCTGGCTGTTAAGGAACTCACTCTGTAGACCAGGCTGGCCTCGAACTCACAGAGATCTGCCTGCCTCTGTCTCCTGGTGCTAGGATTAAATGCTACTACTACCATGCCTGGCTAATGACTGTATGTTTCATTTTTGTTTGTTTGTTTGTTTTGTTTTGGTGTGTGTGTGTGTGTGTGTGTGTGTGTGTGTGTGTGTGTGTGTCACAGCCCTGGCTGTCCTGGAATTCTCTCTGTAGATCAGACTGGCCTCAAATTCTCAGAGATCCACCTGCCTCTACCTTCAAAGAGCTGGGATCGGATTAAAGGCATGCACCATCACCACCTGCTTGGCTTAATGTTTTAACTATAACAGAATTACTAAAAAAGACAAGTACATTAGATTCTCTTGGAAAAGAAAGATAGAACTTGTCATAAGGAGGTTATCATATAGCAGGTGACATTTCAGTTGGGATTAGTTCAACATAAGGGATTTTCCCTTTGGGGAATAGACAGAGAAGAGTACTGGAACCCAGAGACTGGTGCTCAGGCCAGATATGGTGGTATACATCTTTAATATTAGCAATCAGGAGGCAGAGACAGGCAGATCACTGTGATCTCAGCTTAGGACCAAACTACTAGTCTGCAAAGTCTCAAAAATTAAGTAAGTAAACAAGAAATAAATAATAAGGTAGAAAAAGACCAGTGCCTGGAAAGGCATCAATATTTGAAGGAAATGGTTATATTAGAATATTGCTGATGTACTTCATGTGTCCCAAACTCATCAATGGAACAGAGAAGCCTTAGCATGGTGGTGAATGCCTGTTATCCCAATCAGCTCAGGCTGCCCTGAGCTATACAGTAAAATAAGATCCAGCCTGTGCTACATAGTGAGTTTGAGACCAGTTTGGATTGCATATAATGAGAGGAAGAGAGATAAGTAATAGACAGACAGACAGACAGACAGACAGGCAGGCAGGCAGGCAGGCAGAATCCACTCACTCAGAAGACCTCTGACTTCAGGACAAGATGAAGCAGTACCTGACATACTGGTAGTAGACCTGTCTGTTTCTCCAAAAGCCCAGGTTCCAGGCTAGCTAGGGCTACATAGCAAGACTCATGTCACAAAAGAAAAAAATTATGTAAAAACTTGTAAAAATTGGTTAAATAAGCAAAATAAAACCAAAATCCCCTTGTAAAACTTTGCTACTACATGGGGTTGGTTGAGATGACTTAGTGATTAAAGGTGCCTGCCACTAGGCCTGACAACCTGAGGTCAATTTCTGGGACCCATTTGGAGGAAAGAGACAACTAAACTCTCACAAGTTGTTCTCAGGCCTCTACATTGTACCATGTCACACCTGTAGATGAATAAATAAGGTGTATTTTTAAATTAAAAACAAATTTTGCTTCATGTGAAAATGTAACTACTCACCTCTGTCGTAGTTATGATAAAATAGCTCCACCCATGGAAAATAAGGACTCCATTAAGTCAAAAGTGTACTGCACCCCACAGGAACTTATCACCCTTATTTAATTTTCATAATTAATAAAAGAAGTGAGAGAGGCTGGGTAGTGGGGTCACAAGGTTTTAATACCAAAACTTGGGAGGCAGGGTCAGATGCATCTTTGTGAGTTAGAGGCCAACCTGGTCTACAAAGCAAGTTCCAAGAGAGCCAGAACTATATAGGGAAACCTTGTCTCAAACAAACAAACGAAACAACAAGAAGAAGGAGAAAAAAATGAGAGAGATTTTGGTGTGGGGGGGGAAATGCAGAGCTAAATATGGAACAAGGAGATTATTTTAGTTGCTTCTTCACATATTCAGACCATAATAAAAATTAATCTTGGCGACCTGGAGAGACAGTGCAGCAGTTAGGAGCTTGGCTGCTATTGCACAGGACTTAGGTTCAATTCTCAACACCAACAGGGTGGCTCACAATCCCTTGTAATTTTAGCACCAGAGGAAACTCATCATCCTTTCTGGCCTCCTCAGGCACTGTACTCATATGCATAAACCCACAAATAGCCAGGCAATATAATTAAATATACACAAACATATACATATAAAAAACAATATAATTAAAAATAAAAGTAAAGAAAAATGTAAAATATTACTCAAAAGTAAAAATAAAATCTTAAAAAAATGAGTCTGAGGCTAGGAATGTAGCTCAGTTGGTAGAATGCTTGCCTGGGCTTGGGTTCCATACCCAGCACCAAATAAATTGGGCATGGTGGAAAACACTTTTAAGCTCAGCACTCAAGAGGTAGAGGCAGGAAAATGATAAATTCAAGGCTGTCCTCAGTTACATAGTAGATTTGAAGCCGGTCTGGGCTATATGACAACTATTTTTTTTAAATATTTATTTATTTATTATGTATACAATACTCTGTCTACATGTATGCCTGCAGGCCAGAAGAGGGCACCAGACCTCATTACAGATGCTTGTGAGCCACCATGTGGTTGCTAGGAATTGAACTCAGGACCTTTGGAAAAGCAGGCAATGCTCTTAACTGCTGAGCCATCTCTCCAACCCTCATGACAACTATTTTAAGAATTAATCTGGGCTTACAGTTAAGAGCACTGGCTACTGTTCTGAAGGTCCCGGGGTACAATTTCCAGCACCCAATGGCAGCTCACAACTGTCTGTAATTCCACTTTGAGGGTATCCAACACCTCCAAACAGGCATATACAAGCAAAACAACAATTAACATAAAACAAAAATAAGTCATTAAAAAGTTAGTTGCTGGGAGACGGTGGCACACACCTTTGATTCCAGCACTTGGGAGGCAGAGGCAAGCATAGCTTCAAGTTCAAGGCCAGCCTGGTCTACAGAGCAAGTTCCAGGTCAGTTGAGGTAATGTGGGAAACTCTATCTCAAAAACAAACAAAAAAAACACAAATAAACAAAAGCAAAGCAAAGAAAAACAAACAAACCAACCAACAAACAAAAAGGTATCATAGAAGACCTAGACATTTCCAAATCTCCATTTGGGTAAAATCAGTGTTCCTCAACCTGGGCATCTTAAGCATTCTTCAGTACCTGTAGTAGCTTGTTAACAGGTAGCTGTTAACAACCAAGAGGACACCTGACCCTGATGCTATAAGCAACTAGTGGGTAGAAAGAAGGCAGGGATAATATTACTGATACTTCAAGAAACATCTAAGATTGTCCATCCCTGCTGGCTGTGGTGGCTCACACACTTGAGAGGCAGAGGCAAGTGAATCTCTGTGAGTTTGAGGCCAGCCTGCTTTATATAATGAGGGCCTCCCTAAAAGAAATAAGCAAGCAAGCAAGCAAGAAAGAAAGAAAGAAAGACTGACTGGTGGTGTACCCCACAACTGCAATCCCAGCACTCAGAGGAAGGAAGCAGATAGATAAAAAATGCACTCTTGGATCTGCAGCATGTTTAAGGATAATGTGGGCTACATAAACTAAAACAAAAAATGAACTAACACAATGAAATAAAGAGATTCAACTTCCTTCACTTCTTCCAAGTTCAATATATTTGTGTTACCTCTTCAGTGTGCCCATACCTGAGCACATTGTCTGCGGAGGACCACCCACAGTTGGCTAGGGCCAAAGTCTACCCACATCCTTTTCTCTAGTTGGGGATCTCTTCTTGGCTGGGATGTGCCCGTGCATGTGGGTACTGTGGGTGGCATCTGGGCACTGGGAGCTCCAGCCTCACGGAGCAGAACCCTTCTTTAGTCTTGCATAGAGCACGACTGAAGCAGAAGGAAAATTTGTGCCTACGACTGTTCCCATCCCACCAACACCCCTGATATGACTAGCCTCCTCTTGGCTTCCTGTTTTCCTGTCATCCCAAGAGAGTGGAGAAAACGCTTTGAAGGGGCTGGCAAGATGATTCTGCAGATAACGGCACTTGCTACCAACCCTGACCATCTTAGTTCGATCCTGGGTGTTAGCCCATATGATGGACAGAGAAAACCAATTCTGGAAAGGTTATCCCCTGACTTTCACGTGTGTGCAATGGTGTGACTGTGTGTTACACAGAGATATACAAGTAAATAAGTTCAATTACAACTTTTAAAGAAAATGTCATTATGGTCTTGTTGAGTTTTGTCCTCTGCCCCCAACCTGCTTCGGCTTGTCTCCTGTCCCTAGTCCGGCTTGTCCCCTGTCCCCTAATACGTACACTGGGTCTGTCTCCCATTTCTCTCCTCCCTGGTTGCTCCTTGTTAAATA